CTAAATTGTTCCAATCTGCCCCAATATCATGATTATACATAGTATTCATTAATGCTCTTAGATCTGCTCTGAGTTCATCTCTTGATGCTGCCATTGTTATCTTTGGTTTTATTGGTGGTACTGGTGTTATTGGTATTATAGGTACTTCCTTTGATTTTTTATTTTTCTCTTTACTTTTTGGTTTTTTACTTGAGCCAATTTCGGGTCCTTTTATATCCTCTTCCATTTCCTCTTCGTCATCTGTTGGATTTTCTTTTCCAACATCTTTCTCGCATTCTATGCAAATTTCTTCTCCAATTTTAAATTCTTTCTTTAATCTTTCAATTTCACATCTTTCGCATTCTTTTGTATTTTCAACTCTCCATTGTAATATTTGTTCATCTAATTCTTCATCTTCAAGATTCCATATTGTTAAATATTTCTTCATAAATTCATATGTTGTTATTATCTTTGCGGTTACTCCAAATTTTCTTATTCTTTCAATTTCTGTTATTTCTACATCATATCCCATTCTTTTCAAATCCATTCTAATTATTTCTTCGAATATCTTTGTCGTTTCTGTTTCTTTAACATTATTAGATTCATTAGATTCCTCATCCGACATTTCTTCATTTCTACTAATCGGTAAATTTTCTTCTTCCCCATCATCTGTTTCTGTTATAGTATAGCTTCTTGGTGTGTCATCACTATCTGTTTCATCTATATTTAATTGTTCAAACCCCCTAATCTTATCATAAACTTTTTCAATTACTTCTTTCACAATTCCTCCACCACGACCTTTTACGTACATTGTGTTCAACATCGATCTAATCTTTTGTTTGAACGCCTCTATTTTTTCTATTGACTCATCTTCTAATTCTGCTTCCTCATACAATATATTTTTGTATTTTCTAATAACACTATCTTTCCATTCTATAAAATCTGATATAGCCACTTTATGCCATTCATAAAATTCCCTAAATCTTATATTTACATCCCAATCTTCCAAAATATAGCCGTATCTTATTAATTCTTCATTCCCTATCAATCTGTCCATTGTTTCATCTTCTTTGTCATTTTCTATACAGTCTCTCACAATCACTATTATTATTATCTTTAATCCTTTCTCTCTCAATATTGGTTGTTTCAAGTATCTTATTGATTCGACCATTACATCTAATGCATCTCTAGTCCTTCCTTTTGTATAATTATTTCTTTCTTCACTATCTATACTTAATAAATTTAATAACGCTCTTATAGTTTCTGCGTTATAACCTTTTATCGTATATTCAAATTTTTGTAATATTCTCCAAAATTTCTTAAAAACTTCTGGTGTATCTCTCATTGGATAACATATTTCACATGTTATATTTTCTCCTCTTAATTCGTCTATATCTACATTTCCGATATTTTCGTCATGTCTTAATTTGTGGTTCTCGTAATCAACCCTCCAAGTTTCATACCATTCCATCGTCGTAATCGTTCATCCAGAATCTTAACTAAAATCTCACCTCCTTTTATATATTTATACTTCACTCTTATCGTTTCTATTTTCAATCTTCTATGTTTCTATTTTCAATCTTCTATGTTTCTATTTTCAATCTTCTAAACATTCTTTCATCTTTAAATAGATTGCTTCTTTCAATCTTTAAATTTCAATTTTATATATTTACTACGCCATATTCTACTATTAATTTTTACTGCGCCTCAAAATTTCAAAAATTATTCTAAGTCCACAATCTCCTCAGGCTGTGGAGGTTTTTTACTGCGCCATAAAATTTATCTTTTATCACCGATATCCGTAATTTCACATGTCACAAACTCCAAAATTTTCATAACTTTTAGAGTTCGCGGATTTCCAATCTTTCTTATCGTCCACATAAATCCTTCCTACTATATATTCTATATTATGTAAATTAATCTATAGTACACATAATGTCGTTCTTTTCAGATAAATGTCCTTCTTTTCAAATAAATGTTCTTTTTCAGATAAATATTCTTTTTCAAATAAATGTTCTTCTTTTAAATAAATGTTCTTCTTTTAAATAAACGTCCTTCTTTTCGGATTTTACTCTATTATTAAATACTGCACGTAATGTTCATTATACGGCTCGTTAATGTGTAAATATCCTTCTATTTTATCTTCTTTTAACGGAACATTGTAATGAGAGCGTGAACTAGGACACTACACCAGGAACCTTCATCTGAAATGTAGCCTAGGACCTGTAACAATACTACGTATCCGTTTTTTCTTCCTTCGTTGGCCGACTCGTCTCTTAACGGTTGAATCTAACCTTCCAAAATCCAGTTTCAAAAGTCATCAGCTATCCATAAAACTCATCTAAACCAACTTATCTTTCCTCAAATTTGTGGACCTATACTGGGCTTATCTCTATCTTTTTCCCATTGGGTAAAAGCATGATAGTTTACAGGTTTGTCCTATTTTATCCATTCAATGTTTCTTGATAGTAGGTGTCTTTACAATTTTCATTTCCCGTTCCCAAAGCAATTTGCGCATTATTGAGCTGGGTATCCAGATTTGACGTAACCCATACGTTATAATCTTTAATGTCGAAGAATAAAAATTTTCCAATTTCGAGCATTTATCCAAAATTCAAACTCAGAGGTAACCCATACCACACAGATGAACCCCGGATAATACATTGGTGTTCTCCCATTATTAATCTTTATTCCAAAATTCATCTTTCACTTCCTCATCTCCTTATGAAATTTCTCAGGTACTTTATTCCCGAAAGAAATATTCTTGTGCTTTCTATCTATTAATTGATTACTTGCACAACAACAAACTCCAATCTTTCACCTTTCCAAGTTTTTAACTCGATTAAATCCTTATTGATTTATTGGTTCCTTTTGAACTTGTCAAAACCTGAAATCTAAAAATAAATTCTAAAATAAAATATTGATTAATAATACCTATCAGTGACTTACTAACGAAATTAAATTTTCATATTAATAATCATGTGATGATAATCATTTCCTTTCTCGGAGCATGCACCATATGAGATCCCCCAATTCCCTCTGTCATCAATTTACAGAGTTGCCACATCGAACGGGCATTCCCATGGTCGAACGAACGAATAAACGAACGAATGAACAATTAAACGAACAAGCTAATAATCAACGACATAATTAACAAACAACATAATCAACGAACAACATACAACATTCTTGGTTCACGACATAAATAGCGTTAGTAATATAAAACGTCGAATGATATAAAATAAAATTTAACTTCTCTAAATTTTCCCAAATTATATCCACTTTTACCTTTAATTTCAAACTTCGATAGCTCTCGCTACGAATTATTACTTTCCAAAAGTGTATATTTAATTCATCTTAAAATTTCCATTTATTCAATTAAAATTAATTAAGCAAACATTAATTAAAGTTTAGGGCGAACCTATTACCTTTAATTAACATTAAACTTTACTAACAAATAATTAAAAAAATAAAACTTATATTTTTATTGAGTTCTGTGGATGAGAACTGTGGAATTACCTTGAATTCCGTTCTCTATATATACAAACTTTATACTTCTTTCTATTCTATCTATATACTATCTTTTATATTCTTTTTACATACTATGTTCTTTTTACATATTATCTTTGAACTATCTTTCTAATATTCTATCTATATTTTAAATACGCTATCTTTTAATATGCTATCTTTATATATATGTTATCTTTTTATATATGTTCTTTTTAATATATTATCTTTTATGTTCCATCTTTTTGCTATCTTTTTATATTATCTCTTATAATATCTTTGTATAATCTTTTTATATTATCTTTTATAATATCTTTGTATAATCTTTTTATATTATCTTTTATAATATCTTTGTATAATCTTTTTATATTATCTTTTATAATATTTTATGTTCTTTAATCTTTCTGACATTATTTTATATGTTCTTTCAATCCGCTTTATGCGTTTTGCTTGTAATCTATCTTTTGTGGCTTATAATTATTCTTTCTAATCGTTCTTATTGTTAAAGATTGCTAAGCCCCAATTGATCGACTCTATTTATCCTATTGGTTCTTTGTCAATCATTTGATAAATATTACATTATGTAGATCATTACTCTTCCTAAATGTTTATCCTTTTCGGCTAATTATTTATCCATCCACGCCAATCCATAGTTAATTTGTTCGTTCTTAATATTTGGAAATTACCTTTGGTGGTCGTATTTTATCATCTTTTCGTACTTGATATTCGGCCGTTTACAGCGGATGAGTATATAAGTTAGTGGGAAAGATTGAAAAATTTTTTAGGGCCAAAAAAAATAGTTTAATGCGGCAAACTGACATTAACACATATTTTCACTAAATTTTTGCAAAATATGTTGTTTTATTTGGATTTGAGTTTAATAAAAAAAATTTAAAAAATTTTTTGTCGGAAATCTAATTGTGTAACAAAATTTATTTTTCTATTGGCTGTTCTATAAATGCACACCCTCCCTAAGTGCACGTGCATAGTCGGTCCCGAGGTGCGTGCACTTAGGGAGGTGTTACTGTATTATCTCTAAATCAAGTTACTTTCTTGTAATCAATGCATAATTATTAAAAAGATGCAATATCAATAAAGATGATGCAATAATATTCGGTATCATTGAAAATGGAGCAAAGGCAATTTTTTTTTTATTTAAAGACCTACAATTTGCCAAATATTTCTTATTTTATTTTTTTTTGAAAACCAAAAATCAATATTTTTTGTTGTAATTTTTTTTTATTTTTTTTTTTACCTTTCATTACTTCTTCTTCATCATGACACTTCTTATGAAGATGAAAATGGTTTTAATCAGGCCATTGAACTTGCTGCTGAGAGTTTAGCTAATGACAATTTGGTGTTGATGGTATTTTAAATGGCTTGGAATTGGGTGCTGTAGAAACTCTGATTATTTGGGAAAATTTGGATATTACTCATTATATTTTGATAGTTCTGAAGTCATTGTCACCATGACTTAAGAACAAGAAAGATTAAGCTCTTTACACTGATAAAGAAACAGGCTTGGAAAGGACTTTAGAATCAGTGATATTCTGAAGGACCATGACAGTAGGGACCACATATTAGGCAGTATGGTATCAATTTTTCTCTAACAGTGGTATCCTGAAGGACCATAACATTAAGGACCACTTATGCAAGGTTATTAAACTAGTGGATGTTTCTTATGTAGGTGAAAATGGTTTTAATCAGGCCATTGAACTTGCTGCTGAAGGCACTCAAAATATGAAAGTAAGTTGGAAGATGAATTACAAACCATAATAGTTGATACAAATCATCAGATAATTTTATTCTTTTCATTTGGAAATAGTGAAGATACTTAAAATTTGAAAATAAGTCAGATAGTAAATGAATCACAAGCCATAATGGTTCATGATAATAATGGATTTTGATGGTTTTGTTGTATAATATAAATGTAAGTTTACATTCTAACAATCATAGCAAAAATTATGAAAATAATTTAGATACTGATACAATTTATACCATCGAGGAAATTTACTGTAGATAGCATAAAATTATGGTTAACTAGCGATACCCATCTTCTGTTAATTGATGTTAAAAACTAGAGTTGCAGGGTTGAAAGTTGCATAATCTTTGTGAATGACTTCTTGTTCAAGAGCATGGCTTTTATAATGAGTTATAGGAGTCACTTAGAATTTCTAACAAGAAATAAACCAATTGCTAGACAGGCAGTTGCTATTGTCTTACACGTGAAACTCAGGAAGGAATCGCATCCTTTATAGCTTCAATTTTTCTTCACCAATTTCATGAATTTTTTTGAAAATATTAAGATGCAAGTTTTTACTGATATATTCAAATATATTTTCCTTGATATTCATCATAAATAAGGTTGGTCATCGGTCCTACCGGTCCTACTCGGTCCTGGACCGGTCGGTCCCAGGACTTGTAGGACCGGACCGTGGTCTTGCACCCGAAGACTGACCAGTCCTCTTAAAAAAAATACAATAAACCACATGTCAATCAATTAATATTTTACATTACTTAATTTCAGACCTATTAATCTATTTTACTTATCTATAAAGATGATTTAATATATTGAAAAGTATTGTATAGAGGAATTTTATGTATCATTACTAATTATTAATTCCAAGTGTATACTGGTCTTCATATAATAATGATTTTTTATATTAAATTTAATGCTAAAAAATTTTTTTATTTGCAAAAAAAAAAAAAGAAAAAAGACCGATCGGTCTTAAAAAGACTGCGGTCCTTAAAAAGACCGACGGTCTCATTGTATGTACACTAATACAGACTGCAATCCTACACCAAGACGGACCAGTCCGACGGTCCATCTTTTTAAGGTGTTGTAAGTAGTGCCACCACTAGCTACAAAAATTAATACTTTATTAATGACAAAATACAATAATATATCCTGAGTTCATGCTTGATTGATAATAATATTAGTAACATATAATAAAAAAATCATTCTAAATTAATATAATTCCTATAATTAAACTGCGATAGTAGCTTGCTTCCCCCTTTTTTATCAATACTCCCAATAACCTTTAATTGAGATAATTAAAGTGGCGTCTTTTCATCATAAGAAAAGCGCGAAAAGAATCGAAATAACTAAACTACAATGTAAAAAATTAATTTTCTGTAAAAAAAAGTTCAACCCTCATTTCTGAGTCAATTTCGGTAGTGCTTCGATCCGGATGGGTTTTTAACGGATCAATCCACGGTTTACTACGGTTTGGCAACGGTTGAAGCTATAAGTTTGGTCAAAATTAATAAAATTTGTAGAAGAATAATTTTTTTAAATCTGACAAAAATTATAGTTTGACAAAAATAATAGAAAAATGTTGTGATGCTAATCAACGGATCAATCCGGATCGAAGCACTAAATTTCGGTCATTATTAATACTTTCACGTTACTATTGTTACCATTGTTCAACTAATAAATCCCCTTTTTCCTGATTTTCCCACTATTCAATCCCTAAAATCTCCAATTTGATTTGCATCACTTTCCCTCATCTCCGACCTCCTCAGTTGAAATAATCTTCCTATATTATCCCTTAATTAACTATTTTCGTTACAATTCCTTAATTCGCTACTTTTATTATAATTCCTTTTTAGTAATCCTTAACTTAATACTCGTGACCAATTGAACAATATTCTTCCCCTTCATAACTAAAAATAAAATAAAATTATAAAAATAATGTCAATAATAGTTTAACGTCGATTACGGACGCAGTACATTTAAAACACTTCAAAAATTTATACGTCTAAACTAAATATAATACTGCGCCCACAATTAATAAATTCAGTGTAAGACCGTAGGACCACGGTCTTTTTTAGGACCGATGACCATCTTTAATCATAAACTCCAAAAAAACTATAATCAGGAAATTTAAGAATATTACACTCAACAGTATGCATATCTTCCATATTTTTTCGCCAACCTTGCATTGTTGAAGTAACATATATTAAGTCATGTTGTTGACAGCAGATACCTTCATTAGTGTTTTTATCTTCAATTGGCTCTGAAAGAAATTCACCCATGGTTTTTTTTACAATAATTTTTAGTTTAATAACTTTTCGTTTTGTCATAAAATTAAATCGTAATTGTCCGGAGCGAAGCGAAGGACTATATATGTCTACGCACTATGATGATCTATGGAAATAACGTGTAAATTTTCAATCACGTGAGTTTCTCTGTCCAGGAATTCCAAGGCGTAATGCTGCTAATCAGCAGAAAATTACCGGAATTCCAAGGCGTTATGCTGCTAATTAGTAGAATATCGCTAAATCTTTATTTATTGTACCTCGCTCCGGACTTACAACGGTTCCCGTTTCCTAGTAGTTATATTGCAGATGCATTAAAGATTTTAAACGAGTAACGAGTCATAAAATACAAGGTGGAAATGTAGAATAAGATATTTTATCGAATAAGGAATATAATAGGGCAAAGAAACCATGTAAAAGTAAAGAAGTTTTATATTTGGAACAGTTATCAGAGGCGGATTGTTTAAGATTAATGAAATGGAAATATTTCTGTATGGAAAATAACAAGAGTATTAAAGGAAGAATACCAAAGTGGTTTAAAAGTTTAGAGAATAAAATAACAATAGAAAATAGTAGAAATTTAAAGGAAGAATTTGAATAAAAATTTCTTAAGGGGTAGGATTAATATGAGATTATTTGATGAAGATTCCAAGGGTGGTAAGGGTGAAATTATAACGTGAAATGAAAATGATAATATAAGTTTTTTATGGTAAAAAGAAATCACAGAGTAAGAAATTCAAAAGGATTAGTTATCGCTTGATCCTAGAATCTGATGTTAATGATAAAGATGTATCACCTAGATTGACTAAATGTAAAGGAAATATTAGGAAGAAAAATGCGACAGATGAAACGTGTATTATTTATGATAAATAATTCTAAAAGTAGCGTTATTAAAAGACGCATGGATTAAACCTTTTGAAACTTTTAAGTAATATAAGAATGAATTAGTAAGTAAAATTTTAATAGAAAAAAGATAGATGAAGATTATGATCAAATCGATAAAATAGATAAATTAGTAAGGATATTAAACTGTTTTGAAAAATAATTTGATAGAAAGAGGCAAAAAAGATTATTTCGTAAAGAATAAATTTTTAATTATAGCGCATAAAACAATCAAAAATAAAATGGGAGGTAAATGAGAAAGTAAAGATCTAATTTCATGGATAATTAGAGAAGATTTAGATAATGACAATAACGAAATTAGAGTAAATTTAATTATTAATCAAGGGATACAGTTAGTGACATATTACATGGATTAATAATGGCGGTCCTATTGCTAGATAATAATAATTGTTTATACACAAAAAGTGGAATCTATGATTTTTAATTTTATTAATTTAGCGAGTAAAGAAAGAGGTTGGACGAACGTTATTTTACGGAACTGATGTAGCAGATTGGTTAAAAAGAATGAATATAACATTGGGGTATTTAATAATAATGAATACTATGTTAAAGCTAATAAAATTAGGATTCAATTAGTGAATTATATGAGTTCGAATGAATGATTTCACACTGGATAGTTTTCCTGATTGTTCTATCATGATAAACGGATTATTAGTTAACGAATTCGAGCTGTATTGGAACAAATTATTAATTTAAGAAGACTTTAGAGAAATGGGGTAAATTGAAAACAATTGCGAAGTATAAAAACGAGATCTTAAATAGTGAATTATTAGAGGATTTATTTTATTATAATTTCACTTACGAATTGGATTGGAATAAGTCACTATTTTTTGTTAGCAATTTAAATAATTATTGTAAACAGCAAACATGCGATCAAGATTCATTAAAACGTGCATATAAATTAAAAATCTTTTGAAAAATTTCTGACATATGCTATTTTGTTCAAAAGAGAGGTAAATATGATAGATTCCGAGATATGTATACGATGTGAAAAAGAATTTGAGGATTGGGATCATATTTTAGGAGATTTCGATCAAGCAGCGATAGTGAGAAATGTAAATATAGCCGTTACAAGTATTTTATTTGAAAAATCATCAATTCTATTGGGTAAAACAAGGGAATGTAAATTATTAAGAGGCGTTTATAATAATGGATTCAATAAGATAACAAATGATAAGGAAGAGAAAAAGATGATTTTTAGATAAAGAGATGTGAGGAAGTAGCTGAAATAGAAAGGAAAAGAGGAATTGGTAAAATAGACAAGAGAAGTAGGATTGATATTATTGATACCTCTAAGTATTTTAATATGTAATCTATTATGATTCAGATAATTAATAAAATGCGTTACTAATTTTTTTTTTTAAAAAAAAGGTATACTGTATATCGTCGTCTTCTGATGCGTGACCAGTCAATTTTTTATTTTCATCTATTCTTAAAGTAGTTTTTTTCCCTTTAATATACCCGTTTGTCTACTTCTCTTTCTTTTTTTTTTTTTAATTATTTTATTATCATATTTTTTTTTTATAAACTAGTCTTCAGACTAGAGGTCTGCATTGACTCCTATTTTACAACCTGATCCAGCCCGCACTTGGAAATTAACTTAAAGTGCCCAGCCCGGTCCAATCCAGACTTAATATATTAAAAACTAAATATATTAAAAACCCAGCCTGGCCCAATTGCTTGGTCTGAACCTGGACTATTATTATATCAATTTGTTCATTTTGTTGTAAAAACAAAAATCGGGCAACTTAAATTTTGACCAGTTTAATTTTGGCCGGAATTAAGGCGATTTTGGCCAAAATTACGAAAATCCAGGTAACAAAAATCATGTGCTGGTCTGGAAAGAAAATTTGCCAGCCCAAACCCAGATCCGGGTTTGGGCTGGATCTGGTTTTCAGGTTCCAGATCCCTCTACTTGATTGTATTTCTAAAGAAATCTTGCATAATACCTGGGTTACACAAAAAAAGACCCGGATTTTATCCGGATTGATCAGGATTCTTATCTGGGTCAAATAATCCGGATGATCCAGATTGGATTTACAACTGATCGACAACAATTCTGGCCAGTATTCATAATGCCGGCCGGAATTAAAAATTCATGTAACCTTAAAATTTTCGTGCCATTATGCTTAGCCAATAAAAAATTTTTTACCCGGTGGCTAAACTATTTTTCCGGTGTCACGTAATATTAATTTCGGCCAGAATTACAAATTTGGCCAAAATTATCTATAAAGACCGCGAAATTTTCATAATTCCAATAATCCAATTTTTATTCAATACTTTTTTTTAAAACATTTCATATTATTTCAGCATTGTCTCAGACTATTGTTTAGCATTTCTTTGTATAAACTATAATTATGAAATTTTTGATAAACAAGATATTTTTATATACAGCTAAAGATTACTATAGATAGATGTGTTGAGTTAGTAAGGCAATTTTTAAAATGTTAAAATGAGGTTTGTTTCTTCTTTCAAAAATTAAAGAATTATTTGAATCAAATTATACAACACTAAGATTTTAATTTCTAAAAAAAGTTATTATAATTATATAAATTTTATAGTATCTCAATTTTTTGTAATTTGATCTGAATAATTTTCCATTTAAAAATAATAATTATTATTTCATTGTAAAAAAAATAATAATAAAATTTTTTTTCTTTTGAACATTTGAATGTGAAAAATGATTCTTTGTTTAGTAAATTATTACGTTTTAAACTTCAGTTGACCAACATGTAATGCAAGTATTTTTGGTGTTTCCACTTTTCAGTATTTGAAATTTTGTCTATGATCGCACTTTAATGAAAAAAAAAATATACTTATTTCTATAATAATTTAATTATATAAAGTTATGGTGCTATGCAAAAAAATTTATATAAAGATTCATCCAGATTCTGGTTTAAACCGTATATTTTTCATCCGGATTATAATCCAGATGAAAACCGCAAAATCTGGATATCCAAAAAAAAAATATCCAGATCGATCTGAATCGATCTGGATATGGATTGAAGCATTAGACTAGGCCCATTGGCTAAATGGAAATTACTTGATTTATTTGATGAGTCTTTGGAGGCACCAGTTTATGTTAGTTCAATGATAAATTTAGACTAAATTTGTTATTAAACAAATAATGTTACATTGTTACAAAATAAATAATATTATATGATTGTTAAATATTATAAATTACTACATATAATGGGTTTAATGCTAAAGTTAAAACATAAAAAAATAAAGAACTAAAAATTTTTTAAAAAACCACAAATCACAGATAATAGCAATGGTGTAACACCAAAATGCTGAATTTTTCTGGCTAGCATTATAGAACACATGATATAATTCTAATTGAGCAACAGCCAATTCCTATTTCCAATCAAATCAACTTTGGCCGTCAATTTTGATTAAACTCACTACAAATTGGCTTGGGCGCTAGTGCTTCGATCCGTGCACAGATAAAACCGTGGTATCCGGATATCCGAAAAAAAAATAGCTGTCCGGATACTGCGGTTTTATCTGGATAGAAAATATCCGGTTTGAACCGTTATCCGGATAAAAAAAATTATAAAATATTTTTTTTAATCATTTAAATTACCTTATTTATTGAAATTATTATCTATTAAATTACCATTTGTTAAAATCATAATCTATCTCACTAAAATTACTAGTAGAATATTCAATGGTCGGTAGTAATTCAGGCCATCTATAATGCCAGCCAGAATTTTGTGAAATTGATATTTGTCAAGAGGCAGCAGTATCCGGCCCAGCTTAACAAAATTTGGGATTTTTGTAATTTTGGCCGCCATTATATGTTTGGCCCAAATTACTGTTGATCCATGATTTAAAAAAAAAGATTTTTTCTAATAGTCAGGCTGAATTGATTAATTTTATGTTACAAAATGGTATATAAATATAATAAAAATAATTAGTTTATGCCTAATCTTCCATTATTTTACGATTTTAATGTGTTTTTATATTTATAATAATGTATTTATTGCAAAATTTTACGTTTCTCAAATTTTCAAAAAATTGACATAATTCAGGCAAAATTCGTAGTGCCGGCCGAAATTAAAATTTTATTTTATTTAAAATTAATAAAATGTCACTAATTTCGTTAAAAATATTAAGTCAAAATTTAATTAAAAGTTAATGCCACTGATATTATTTGTTAAGATCGATCAATGAAAAAAATTATTTATATATAATCTTATCCGGGTTTCAGTTTCTATCCGGATATATCCAGATTTATATCCAAACCGGATAATCCGGATAAAACCCGGATAATTTTTTTAATTTATCCGGATAACGGTTTCTACCCGGATTGAAGCACTATTGGGCGCAGCCAAATCCCAGCACAAATATTATCTGTCATTTGCTCTACAAAATGACATGATGATATATGACATATTATTTAGATCATTTGTATCATTTCATATCACTTCAAAACACTGCTGTTATTTATTACTTAATTAGAGCAATGTGAAATAATGCAATGTTGCAATGCATTCTATTAAGGGTTGAAAACCCTAATGGGTGGAAAGTTTTGAATTTAGGGAGATTTGAAAAGAAAATAAAGATTCTAATTTCAGATAAGATTTTTTATAAAAAACCCATGTGCAGTAAAAAAATCCCATGTGCAGCCCATGCAAAACCATGTGCAGTTGAAGACTCACATGCATTCCATACATAGATATAAAAAGTGTAATTCAATAGTATATTTACTTCTAATGAAATTTGATTATTTTTTACTTAATAATTGTAATAAAATAATTCATCTTATGTTAATGTTAATGTTAACATTAATGTAACATATTTATTAGAAAATAGAAAGAGAAGTCAATTCTACACAATTTTGTTCATTTATATTTGTACTTTTATTATATTTTTAATTATACAATGCCATGTTAAAAATTGTAAATAATTTTTAATATTTTTTTGTTTTTTTTTTACTTTTTTCAAAATGAAAAAATTTAAATTTTAATATAATAATTATAAATTACATGATACAGTAAAAATCACCACAGGTGAATTTCACCTCTGGTGAACGTTAAAATAATACTAAAAATAAAGTCAACACTCAACAATATAAATTAAATCAATTAGCCAATGAAATGAGTATAAAAAATTTTATATTATTTATTTTTAATTTATGCATTGGAAATGGTTTATATACTTATATTATTATTTTGATAATTTATATTTAATAATCGGAAAAGTTAAAAAAAAAGATTTATTTAAATTACAAACTAAGAAACTTGTAAAATATTTACTACTCTAGTCTTAGTGTTTAAATAATTCTAAGTAAATAAAAAGAGAATATAAAAGATACTATGCTATGAAAAAAGGAATTATTTAAAATTTTAAATTAATCTTGCAAATATTTTACTACTCTAACCTTAGTGTTTAAATAAATCTAAACAATTTCTGTTAATTGTTTGACTCAAAAAACTATAAATTCTTATAAAAACACGTTATTTTTCATCTGTTTAATATCTAAATAATTGAATAAATAAAATTAATTCACATAAATAATTTGCAAAATCAATCCTTTTTATATACTATATTGCATACCTAATGACTTAAAATTAACTATATAATCATCCAAATCTTTACTTACTAGCATTTCATTTACTTTTACACTTGCTTGTGAAACTTCACTTTCAAGAATTTCATTCAATTGTTTACTAGTAAAATCAAGTAAGCGACTTGTATAACATGCCTGTGGATGAGATTTAGTAGTAAGACTATTGTTATGCCCAATTGGTGCATTTATAAATTCCATAATATTGCATTTTAATTCTTCATTAATATCTTCAACTTTCACTTCATCTGGACGAAAAATCCATTTACCAATAATATCCAACACTTCTTTAGATGATGGTCTTTTTGATGAATCTTCATTCCAACATTTTTTCATCAAATCTACATAACATTGTGGAGTATTTTCAATAATTTCAGGACGTTCACCTTTACAAATACTTAAACTAAGTTGAATATCATGTTCTCTATTATTAAATGGTGGTATTCCAGATGTAATTTCCCACATAATTATAGAAAAACTATATATATCACTAGCTGGAGTATAAGATTTGCCTCTTAAAATTTCAGGTGCCATAAATGGTATAACACCACAAATATCATATTTTTTCAAATATGATTTTACAGGTTTACATAATCCTAAATCACTAATATAAATTTTATTCTCATTATGATTTAAAATATTACCATCATGAAAATCACAATGAATAAGATCTCGGCTATGTATGCCATTAAGTCCATAAATAATTTCAAATAACATATACAATTTTTGATTCCAATCTCTTTTGATTATTCTTGTTAAGTTTCCTCTTAAATTACCTTTGTTTGCATAATCCATTACCACCATATATTTCAAAGTATCTGGATCTTTTGTAAAACCATAAAAATAAATAATATCATATGAATCTAAACAACTTTCATGATATTTCCACTATAAAATAACAATATATTAATATAAGTGAATTAAATTATAATTTAAATTAAAAAAATAATAATATATTTTCATACTTCATTTAAAAATTCATTTAAATTTTCACTTAAATTATTATTACATTTAAGGATTACTTTATTATCTTTATTACCATAGAACCAAATAGCTTTGTATATAGTACCAAATCCTCCTTTATCAAGATATTCAATATTTCTAAATTTATCATAAGGAATCCATTTTAAATTTTTTTCCCAAATAAAATTATCCATAATTGTATTTCCACTTTTTCCAAATCTATATATTTAAATAATTAAAATTATTATGGAAGTTTTTATTAAAAATTGCATTAAAATTCAAGATTAAAATCAATACTTACACTAAAATTTAAATAGAAATTTAATATAATATATATCTTAGTTTTTATATAAATATATATAATAATAACTCATATTTCACAACTTGCCAACTAAAGTAACAGTAATTTTATATGAAAGAATTAAATTAAATATTTATAAAATATATAACAATAGAAATAACAAATAACTTACAAGCTATATATTATTAAATAATTTTTATAAATAAAGATTTTAATTAGTAGTTTAAATTATATTCAATACTATATAAATAAGTAATAATGGAACTAAATAAATGACTTATAACTTACGATCTATTTAAATAAAGAATTTAGTTAGTTTAGTTAGTTTAAATTATATGTAAATATTATATAAATAAGTAATAATAGAATTAAATAAATAACTTACAATCTATTAAATAAATAAAGAAATTAGTTAGTTTAAGTTATATGTAAATATTATAACAATAAGTAAATGATAGAATTAAATAAATAACTTACACCCTATATTATTTATTTTTCAAATAAAGAAATTAGTTAATTTAAATTATATGTAAATATTATAACAATAAGTAATAATAGAATTAAATAAATAACTAACCATCTACAAAATAATTTTTTAAATAAAGAAATTAGTTTGTAAATATTATACAAATAAGTAATAATAGAATTAAATAAATAACTAACCATCTACAAAATAATTTTTTAAATAAAGAAATTGGTTAATTTAAATTATACGTAAATATTATAACAATAAGTAATAATAGAATTAAATAAAATAACTTACTCTCTATATTATTAAATAATTTTAAAATAAAGAATTAATTTAGTTCAAATTATATGTAAATATTATAACAATAAGTAATAATAGAATTAAATAAATAACTTACTCCCTATATTATTAAATAATTTTAAAATAAAGAATTTATTTAGTTCAATTTATATGTAAATATTATATAAATAAGTAATAATAGAATTAAATAAATAACTTATAACTTACGATCTATTTAAATAAAGAATTTAGTTAGTTCAAATTATATGTAAATATTATATAATAAATAAATAATAGAATTAAAAAATAACTTATAATTACCACCTAAAAGAAATTACAAAATAATTTTTCAAATAAAGAATTTAGTTAGTTTAATTATATATAAATATTATATAAAATAAGTAACAATAGAATTAAATAAATAACTTACGCTCTATATTGTTAAAAAATTTTTTGGATATTTAGTTAGTTTAAATTATATGCAATTATTATATAAATAAGTAATAATAAATAACTTACTTGCTACATTATTAAATAATTTTTTGAATAAAGAATTTAATTAGTTTAATAAATTATATGTAATATTATATAAATAAGTAATAATAGAATTAAATAAATAACTTATAACTTACGATCTATTTAAATAAAGAATTTATTTAGTTTAAATTATATATGTAAATATTATATAAATAAGTAATAATAGAATTAAATAAATAAGTAACTTACACTCTATATTATTTCATAATTTGTTAAATAAAAAATTTAGTAATTTTTTAAATAAAGAATTAAATTATATGAATATATCATATTAATAAAATTAAATAAATAACTTACTCCCTATATTATTAAATAATTTTTTAAAATAAAGAATTTAGTTAGTTTAAATTATATGTAATTATTATTTAAATAAGTAATAATAGAATTAAATAAATAACTTACACTCTATATTATTTAAATAAAGAATTATTTGGTTAAAATTATATGTAAATATTATATAAATAAGTAATAAAATAATTAAATAAATAACTTATAACTTACCATCTATTTAAATAAAGAATTTAGAATTTAGTTAGTTCAAATTATATGTAAATGTTATAGAAATAAGTAATAATAGAATTAAATAAATAACTTACGAACTATATTTATATTATTAAATAATTTTTTAAAATAAAGAATTTAGTTAGTTTAAATTATATGAAATAAGTAATAATAGAATTAAACAAATAACTTACATTCTATTATTTAATAATTTGTTAAATAAAGAATTTAGTTAGTTTAAATTATATGTAAAATATTATATAAATAAGTAATAATAAAATTAAATAAATAACTTACGAACTATATTATATTTATAATTTTTTAAATAAAGAATTCAGTTAGTTTAAATTATATGTAAATAAGTAATAATAGAATTAAATAAATAACTTACGAACTACATTATTTTTATAATTTTTTTAAATAAAGAATTTAGTTAGTTTAAATTATATGTAAATATTATATAAATAAGTAATAATAGAATTACTTATAACTTACTAACTAAAAAATAATTTTTAGATAAAGAATTTGTTAGCTTTAAATTATATAAGTAATAAAAATATAGATATTTACTATAACTTACACCCTAATATTATTAATTAATTATTAGTTAAATATAAGTATTATACAAAAGTATTTACTGTAAATTAAATATATCACTTACAATCTAGTTATTTAAATTAAGAATATAATTAGTTGAGTTATATAAAATATTAAATAAATAAATATGATCTTATAACTTACCATCTGTAATACAATTAATTATTAAATAATTAATTAATTAAAGAATTTAGTTATTTAAATATTATGTAAAATAAATAAAGTAAAGAAATAAAGATTTAAATAACTAATAACTTACTGACTATAGTATTATATTAATCATCAAATAAAATTATTTAATTACATAAATGTAATAAAAATGATAAGTAATTTTATTATTATTCAATTATAAAATAATCTACTAACTTACGAGCTAAATTATTTAATATTATTTTTATATAATAGTTAGTTTAAATTATGTTTATATCTTATGTAAGGTATAATTATAGATAGTACTATTTAAAAATAATATTTTAATATTTTAGCATGTTTAATATACCTTTATATTCCTTGATACTACTTTCTTCAAATTTTTCAGAGTCACTTCCTTTGAATTCCTCAGAGCCACTTCCTTCAAATTCTTTAGTGCTGCTTCCTTCAAATTCAATATTACTAGAAACTAGTTTTATTATATTATAAATTTGTTTAAAAATATTAGAATTCTAATTGTATTAAATATTTATACCATACATATGTTATTACCTTTATCATTATTGAGAGCCATTCCTATATAATATTAAAATTCTCTCTGACTAGAAAAGATAATAATCTTATTAAACGCCTTTATTAGTATAGGTATTTATATATATGGGAGGTGGTCAGTAGAAAAGGGGGAAATCCAAATTTTAGTCAAAATTTTTTTTATCAGTTTACTTTGCCAATCATGATCATGGGAACAAAATTAGCTTAATAACCAAAAATCTTAAAATTTTTGAATTTCCCCCTTTTCTACTGACCGCCTCCCATATGGTAATAATATTTATGCAAAATGCATTATGCGCAAAAAATGTTGATCATAATCATAAGTACAAGCATTGCATGTATGACAAACAAATTTTGCACATTCGGAATAATAACTAGAATATCTCCGGACAATAAAAATTAAAACATGCATGGTATAAGGCTATTAATTTTTGATAAATTATATTTATACGATAGATATTTTATTATTAAAACATGATGTAAAGTATTGATGAATACGATCGAATAAATTAAACATGGTGTAAAGATTATTGAATTGTATTTTTAACCACATTTTTTAGTTGTGACCATAAATCAGGTATTACATTACGAAGGATGCGAATAATGAGAAGGCTGTTATGGTTTATCATGGAGTGAACGATCATGTCAAGGGATGGCAACGGTTATGATCATAACCGTTTAACCTCCATTTAACCGACCGTTTGACCAACCATATAACATTTGACTGACCATTTTTAACCATTTGACCGACCACTTAACCAATTATTTAAGTAAAATGGTATAATCATCCGTTTAACCGACCGTTTAACCAATTTTTAACCAATCATAACTGACCGTTTAAATTTCTATAACCTATTATAACCGACCATAACCGACCGTTGGCATCCCTAATTATTCATGTGGTGCGACCACAATTTTTTTGTACTTTAATTTACGTTAGTCATATCCACCGATCTGCAGAATCGGCCTAAATCATGGATTTAATATTTTAATTTTGAAAAACGTGATATTTGTTTCACAGCCCCCTAATTTCAATTGCGTTACATGTGCGGACTGATAAAAAAAAATGGAATCTTTACCCTTAAAGACTCCTCCTTAATCCTCCTTAAAGTTTACTTTGAGTTTACTTTTGAGTTTACTTTTTACTTACGTGAAGTTCGATGGGTTTTTAACGTTACGATGTGTTTATGATATTCATGTTATTTGTATATTAATCAATATAACAATAAATATAATAAGTTATTATTTTACTGTTTTTAGCATGTGTTGAAATAAAAATTCTAAAAGCTTAGTATTTTAAGCAAAATTTGGTATGATTTTATTTGTTTATTATAACATATAGTATTTGAAGAGTTTTAAGTGATACTAATATTTTATCATTATTTATTTTATTATAGTTGGGTAAAATATTTGGGATAATAGGTGAAGAGCGTGTGACCTTTTTAACTTTATCAAGAATAATTTTTATTTTAATATCGTTAGAATCACCTTAATAAGAGCTTTATTTTGGTATAATTTCATTTGATTTGAATCATAAATTACAATTTTTTTTTGAAAAATATATTACAAAAATGAATAACTAATATTAATTCTAATTTTATTTAGATTCTTAAGCATAATTTTGTTTGGTTTAAATATTAGGTTGCCAAAATTTATGAATTTTTTGAAATCTCACGTACGCTTATTATACAAATATTTATGCACGTGAGTGTATTGTCCATCCAATCATTTCTATAATTTTTTTTATCTTTATATCATTAGTTAAAGAACAATTCTTAGCAAGATTTTTTTTTTCCACATAGAAAAATTATTATTTTACTTTTAATGCAAATAAATATTAGAGATTTGATAAAAATATGCAAACTTTTACTTGAGTTATCATTGTCCGTTGTTTAAAATTTATGTCAAAAAGGCGTGCTTAAGCTTATAATTTCGTTAATACTTGAGCACAATGACATCGCTATCTGATCAAATTGAAAGAGATGCTTGAGAATGGCCTATATATACATGATATAAGTTTATTTAATCAATTATCTAATATAATCAGCGAGTTGAATCAACATGACAGTAATTACAAATTTTTAGTCTATTCGTTCAATGCGCCAATCTTTAATTATTACTACAATTATTAGATCCTATAGATATTAGTCAATAATGGGAAATTTTTAAAATCTTTTACTGCGACAAAAATATCAGTAACAAGAATGTATTCGAGGTTGAACCTTTTGAAATATAAATGTAGATTTTGGGCAACATTATGATGACTTTGGGCCAGCATTGTGCGCAAAAGGTGATAAAGGTGATACTGATTTTCGGAAGAATACTTACATTATGTTCATTCTTTTTTTTTCGTTTGTCATTAAATTTTGTTCAACATTTCTTTTTTAAAGATATAATTACAATATTTCTTCAAATTTTTTATTTTTATAACAAAAATAATTTATCATCGAATTCATAATAATAATATCAACACTAGGAAATACGAAATTTATGTAGAAACAGTGTATGCTTTATTGGAAGTTAAATGATAACTGATTTATATTTACAAGGGACGATTTTTTAGGTATTTGTAAGAAAAAGGTCAAATATCCTTCGTGATATTTATCGAAGGACATTTATATAGAGAATTTTCATCTCTTTTTCTAATAAATTTCTTTGTATTTGAATATCTATGATCGGTGTATCAATTTAATTATAACAATATCACTTTCTACAGTACGCGAAAATACAAAATAACGAAAACTAATATTATGTTATAAAAATCAATAAAGCGTACAATGTCATATATTTTATTTATAAAGAATATAAATATATATAAAATAAATAAACTATAAAATATCTATGTAAAGAAAATGAAAGAATTATATCGTAATTTATATGTAAATAATAAAAAAAAAATTATTTCTCTCTTTAATGTTAAGATTCACATCGCAAATCAACACAAATTAGCATACTAGCATACTGTATATCGTCGGAAATGAAATCGGTAAATTTCCGCGTAAATTTACCTGATGACATTCTCCAAATAAAACCCACCCATTTCTGTTAAAATTATAAATTTCTTAATAACATTTAATTTAATATATTTGTTAATTATATTCATATTTTCTTCATTAGTATCTAAGCTTTCAGTAACATCAAGTCTTTTAATAATTATATTGATCGGAAAGTATGGTAAACGTTTGGTCCAACTTATAAAAAATGAATCTAACACTTCTGGATGTAATTTTTCCGTATAAGACTGATGTCGATATAATAATTCTATTCTATTCAAATTTTTAGGAGAGTAATTTGTAACCAATTCCAATGCTATCTTCTCGTTTAGTAAATCGACTTCTCCAATCCAAAGTTTAATAAATTCTAAATGTTTGCAAGCGTTTAAAACAGTTTTCAATGACTCCAATTCATTATTTTTGAACCCAGTAGAAAGAATTTTAAGATTAACACAAAACTTTGCTATCGCTAAATTTAATAAATTATCGCTTTCACCTGTCATTTCACAAAAAGTAAATTCTTCCAAGTTCTTTCCATTATTTTCTAAAAATTTGATTGCTAATTTAGTATTAATTGTATAAATATCAATTCTTAAAATTTTTAAATAAGGAAAAATAAAATATGCTAATTTTTCAAAAACATCTGTTGTATCAAAATGTTCTATTTCGAGTAATTGTAAATTGGTAAAATTATTGATAAATGAGAATGAAACATTAAAAGTACTATAATAAAATTTGTTTACAGTATTATAAAGTTTTGTTGTAAATGAAGAAATCAAATCTGTCAGGTCAGGACTTTTATCAGATTGTATAATATAAAAATATTTTAAATTTTTTTGAATAGAAAATAAAAAATCTTTTAAACCATCCGAAATAATATTATCACAAAATTCTATAATAAGTGATTTTATATTATGACAATATTGTGATAAATTATAAAAAAATTCGGAATTAATATAAGAAAAAAGTTGTAATTCTGTGATATATTTTAAACAATTTTCTGCTCCAGGGAATGAAGTAAAATTTGTATTTGGAAGATTTTTATGCAATTGAATATCTAATTTTTTTAAAGAAGAAATTTGTTTCATAAATAATTTTAATATTTCAATCAAAATTATATAATCTCTAATGAAATATTCTGGTGAACGAACGAGGAATTTAAATTTGAGTTGAATTTCATAAATTGATAGAAATTTACAAAATGATGCGTAATTAAACATAGGGTTTGAAATTGGAAATGGATGAATAATTATATTCTTGGATATAATTTTTTTTGATTCGTTTGGAAGACATTTTATTAAAGTTATAAACGTTCGAGGACTATAGTTTGTACTATCTCTCCATAAAATTCTTACAGATATGTTACACCAGAGTTTATTTACTAATAAGCAAGAATATAAACTTCTTTTATCATTTGCCAAATATTCAAAAATTTCGAAAAGGCAATCAGCAGAAAGTTGAGACATTTTGAAATTTTAAAAAAATTGAAAACTTTTAGCGAAGTGAAAGGTTTTTAAAATGTAATTAAAAAGTTTTGATTTTTTTTTTTTTAAAAAAAAAAAGTGACCGTTAGGCGTACGGTAAACGGTTGCATATATATATATATCTTGAATTTCAACTGACTGCGTTATCAAATTCAATTATATATTAAATACTATTTAAGGTTTAGTTACAATGTGAATTACGTCAATCAGCCATATTATTCTATTTATGGGTTTCTATAATTACGTACTCAATGTGTCGATGAATTCTTTTTTCTTATTGAATGCATTTTTGAAAAAAATTACAGTAAAAGTATGTTACAAATCTAAATAAGTCATTATTATTAATATTTCTATTGTTTTTATTAAAACTTAAACCTTTGTTCTCAAAGTAAAATCGAATTTAGTAAAAAATAAATACTAAGAGTCCTTTTTTTAAAAAAAGTTTGGTTATAGAAACCCATAATAGACGATCGTGTAACATGTGCAACGCACTTGTTCAATGTAAATGATTAAAAATAAGCACGGCCTTTTTTACTAATCAGTACTAAAATAGGAAGTTGTACCGTTGTACCAACCGTATTTTAGTCGCACAACCAGTTGTTAATAGGTAGGAGTATTGGATTTGTAGTTAATTCTAAGGTTGCTGGCCATATGTAATATAATTTCGAATATTTCGTCCGTACCGTCGGTATGTGACTAGGTGTCCTGTATATTATGAAATCAGCTGTAAAAAATTTTAATCCGGATTTTTATCCGGATTTTAATCCGGATAAAGGATCGAAACCCTACATTTCATATTTAATCAATTATGTTTGGTTAAATCGTTGATTGGAAGTTGACTTACAACCTGCTTGTGCTGAACTTGATGTATCTGGGATCCATTGCAGAGGGTGATCATTTATATCTAACCTGTACATTGCAATATAATAATATTTTTATAAAATAGGTTTCTCTCGAGAAAATACAGTATACGAACGAAAGAAACACTTTCTGATCCAAAATCAGGATGTCGCGATCAAGTTGTTGCGGATACTGCAAAAAATGAAAAATTGGAAAATTTTAGTTTATAATATCGGAAATTTAATAGAAGTAATTATTTATAATTTATATAAAGTAATTTTTTTTTTAATTGAAAAAAAATTTTTTTGAGGTTACTTTAAATTGGATTAGACAATTATTTTTTTTTATTTTTTTTTTTTAGACTGACGCCTGAACAGATGGCAAGGCTTGTCGCGTTATCTAAGCTACCCGAACCATTTCCTCATTCGGTTAATAATAAGATTGATAATTATAAATGGAAATTATTAAATTTAAAAGTAAATATACTTTTATATTTTGAAAAAGTATATGTATAATTATCACAAAAATATGTTTTCAATTTTATTATTTAATCCCTATAAGAAATATGTATACGGAAAGGATACGTTTTGTATACATTTTATGTACGTTTCTATAGATTCCGTATACAAATTCCGTATATTTAATAAGCAATTCATTTTTGAACATTTTTTAAAAAAACTAATGTATACGGAAAAAATCAATCATGCGGAATGTATACGGAATTTTTGAACTTAATATTTTTAGAAGATAATTTTACAAAAATCCCGTATCATAACACGAGATCACGTGATTGTTATATTGTTTTTTATATCAGCCCTTACTTTGATGAGTTTGATCTTCCGATCTTCCTTTCTGTCTTTCCTTTCCTTTCTCTTTCTCTTGTCATATTTTTGTTATTTTTTCTAAATTTTTCTTCTTTCTTCGTCACCCCTTTTAAAAATAATTTTTTTTTTCGTACCTCACTTTAAAAAATTTTTTTTTCGTCACTCTCCTTTGAAAAAAAATTTTTTTTCATCACTCCCTTAAAAAAAAATTTTTCTTTTATTTCCCACTCTTCTTTTTTTTTAAAAAAAAATTTCTTCTTTCTATTTCTATTTCCTCTTTATAAAAAATTTTTTATTTTTCTAACTTTGACGTCCTCCCTTTAAAAAAAAATTTTTTTTAACTATCCTAACTTCGTTACCCCTCTTTTTAAAAATTATCACAATTCTTTTATCTCACTTAGACAATAAAACACAATCCTTCTTAAAAGTAAAAGATTCATTTGGTATTCCACGTCGAACAACTTTCAATTATTTATTCTTTATTCCCCTTTCTTTTTTATTTATATTTATCCCTTTTTTTATTTCATAGGCCAGCAGATTTTTTTTTGTGAGAAGATTCAGTTTTTTTTTTCTTTTTTGTAGATCAGTTTGGGAGTCCTTTCCTTTTTGTAGGATGGTTCAGGATTTTTTCTTTTTTAGGTCAGTTCAAATTTTCTTTTTTTTTTTGTAAGTTTGGTTCAGATTCTTTTCTTTTTGTAGGTTGTTACAGTTTTGTTGCTTCAGAGTCTTCTTTTTTTGTAGGCCAGTTTTGGATTTATTTTTTTGTTTTGGTTTCTTTTTCATCACACGCTTCATAATTCTTTTCTTTTACGTAGGTCAGACATTCTGGAGTTCTCTTTCTTTTTTTGTAGGAATGCTAACCTTTGATGACTTGGACGATTGCAGATACTATATGAGGGGGGGGTTTGTTTCCAATTAAGTTAGACGTTCTTATGTTTCTTTTTTTTTTGTTTTTTTAGGTTGTTTGACTCCAAATGAACCTGAACTTATAGATAATTTTGGTTGCAATAGGTGGTTTTAATAAGGAGGGAATTTTCATAATGTATTTGTATTTTGTTTATTTTTTATTTTTTATTTAATTTAATAAAGTAAAATTAGATTTATGAAAATACAATTATAGTAAACTGTAATACAACTAGTAAATTCAGTGACCAAATCGTATAAATTTCGTGATAAAATCAATGATCAAATCATGTAAATTCCATATGAATCCCGTGCAAATTCCGTATCCAAACCGTATTTTTAGTGATACGGAATTGTGCAATTTTCCGTATCCTATTATGATACGTTATTTCTAAGGGAAAAAATCGTATAAAAACTTTATAAAAAACGTATCCAATTTTTTTATAGGGAATAATAAAGTTCCGTTCTACTGTACGTCTCTATAGGTTATTCTTCTATATACAATATAGCTAGCTGATACACCATACAAGTCGTCCAATCCAAATTTATTTTTTTAATACAAGTACCTTTATCAAATTAAATTTACATATCTAATTATGTTCGTACTAAATGATTTTAGTTAAAATAGTCAAACTCATTATACAATTTATCATTAACTAGGATGTTACAATTAATTGAGTTACTTTAATATTGAACCCTTGGCATATTCTTATTACTAAATTCTTATCATGGCTTAAATGTACATAATTATACTCAAACTATAATGAGTATAAATATCAGCAGCCTTTGTATAGTTTGTCCTCTTAAAATTTCAGGAGCTATACAAGGTAAAACACAATATATTTTACTTTTTTGCATTTTCTGAAACAATGTAATTTGCGAGTTTACCTAATCCCATATCTGTTATATCAGTTATAGCAGTATCATTAATATATTTCCAATATGTAAATCTTAATGAATTAATTCCTTTCATGAATACGTTCAAGTCCAATTATAATATCATAAATATAATCGATCTTTCTTTCTTTTTTTAAAAAAAATTAGTAACGCATTTTATTAATTATTTAGAATCCGAAGATTACATAATTTTATAAAATACCTAGAAGTATTGATAATAAATTATCAATAATCTTATAACTATTTAAATAATTGAATCTAAATTATTGTTCATTGGTCACTAATCTAAAAACTAATAATTTTTTGGATTTTACTAATATTTTCATGTGTTTTGTATTTTTCTAGCTTTAAATTGTGGGACACACTAAAAATAAAAATTTTAATAGCCAAAAATTCTTCACTTGACTAAACTAATCTTCAACCTTTTTCCAACGAAAATAAAATACAACCTTATTTTCAAATTTGTTTACGTCATTGAACGTTTATTATTCGCAATCAGAGTCGTCTCTTTGTCCCTGAACTGTCACTACGTGTTTATTATTTTCGTTCAATTTTTCGGTTTCTGATTCCCAACTTTTTCTCTTTGCTGGTTGAGTCTTCTTTCCCACTAATCTTTGCAATACGTTTGCTAAATTCCGAATTTAATTATTAAATTTTTCGACCACTTCTTTACTCGGTACCGGGGATACCTTAGGACTCGTTAACGCATCTACAAATTGTTCATCCTCCGAATGGGTATGTGCTTTTATAATCGATCTTTCTATTCCAATTTAATTTGATATATTCTTTATCTAAATAATTTCGTAAACTTCCATTTCCGCATAATTTAAAACTGTCATACAACTTTTTGTTTCTAATCCTGAGTTATTCCATAAAATCTAATAATAAAAGCATTGTTTATTTTTCCTTTATTATGTAATGTAATCTATATTAAATAAAAATAAAACAATATATTAGCAAGATTATCTTAAATATCTTAATTATAAAAGCATCGGAATAATTAATAACTAAGTCATGTTTTTTATTATATCTATTATCCATCATCAAAAAAGCTCAGGCACGTGATTCAGTACACGTGATTTGGTAATTGGTATATATGGCGCAGTTCTGATAGTTCATAATTCCCATCTATTTTTAAAATTCGTATTATTTTTTTTGAATTTTTTTGCGTAATAAAAAAAACAAATTTTTTTTTTTTCACTGATCCTCTGTTTTTGACGTACCTTTTTTATAAACAAATTTGCAAATCTTTTTTCTTCCAATTTATTATTTATTTTATAATTTTGTAATATAACAGAAACAATATAAAGCATGACAACGATACTATATAGAGTTATGATGTAGTGGGACACGTGTACGACTTGTTTAACTTCAAATCATGGTACCTTATTAGTCGACAGTGAATTGTTTTTTTATAATTAATTCGAATGTTATAATTGCTCAATTTGAAGCACCAACTACTTTACTAAACCGTAATTTGTCTAAAAATCAGGATTTGTTTGAACATGATCTCATTTGATATAAATCAAGTTATAACAGAAATTCTCACTAGTTTGTTCACTTATATTTTGCAATAATAAACGTACAAATCCTGTGTGTAAATTTTCAAATTATGTTACGATTTCTTTGGTTCACGTGACTCACGTGATTTAGAAATTCAATGACAGTTCAGTATGCCGCATTTTACGGAGGTACGGCAGGTATCGCGGCAGATGTCGCAGCAGGTACAGCAGGCACAGCAGGTGTTGCGGCAGTAGCGCCTGATTGTGACAGGTGTGTCGTCGGGCTGGTAGTGTTCTCCGCCTGGGCCTCACAGTACCTATCTGCTCCCTCGATACCAGATAGCGTTATAAGCCCCCTACAGGGGCGGCTATCCCTAGTTCTGTCATATATATACCAAAACCTATAAACTAAGGGAAGAGAGAGGAAAAAGTTAGGGAGAGATATTTATGTCTGAAATTTATGCGGTTTGCGAGACACTAGATATGAAACACGAAAAAAAGACTCGTTCAATATATTATACTTTATTTAACGCCGGAGACATACAGTAGAAGATATTACATCGCTACTACGCAACATTTTCAAGTTCGTCTACAAAATCTCTAAGACTCCCGATCACCTCCTCAGCACGAATAAGTTTGGTTTTATTATAAACATCTCTTAGTCTAGAAATAACTCTTTCGGGATCCTTCGACTTCAGCATCCACTTCGCCAACGGTTCCAATTCACTGAATTTTTGTTTATACTCTTGCTCTTTATACGTAAAAGAGAACAAGGGTTCCCAATTTTCATCAATTTCTACAACCTTGCCGTCAAAAAGAAGTTTTCCTTCCTTAAAACGCAAGGTATCATCAACTTGAATTTTATTCTTTTCACATAGTTTTCTTAGCAATTTTCCGGATGGTTGCCTGCCAGCCTTTCGAGATGGTGAGTCCGCATTATCTCCTACTGCCAAACTATCCATCCTCGTGGTCATATTTTCGACTTCGCTGTCAGTCCCGCTAGTATATTTGACGTCTATAGCAGAATAAGGTCAGACACATGGTGATAAGAAAAAAAATAATAAAAACGTTTTCGTCTGTTTTACTCACTTGAGAGGACTTCTGGCTGTCCACTCTTTATCTCATCAATTATTTGTAAAACATCTTTTGTCGGTCCCAACTCTAGCCCACGAGAGTCAAGATCATATCGAGTTAATCCTAGAAAATGCCTACCGGAAACCCGCTCTTTTTCAAGAAACACAAGAGCACATTCGTCTATGTAAGGCACTGCCTCTTTTAAACGTTGAACAAGAGAAGGCGTATTCAAGGTCTTAATTTCTTCGACGGAAGGAAATTGTGAAGCCATCTTTTTAGTGGAAGGTACAGTTTCTTCGCATACGAACAAATCCATCCTTGAAGATATAATCGTATTTATATTTCAAATTCCAAAGTACCCCCTTTCCCACGATAAACCTGTTATACGTTGCGCACAAATACGCCTTCAGACAAATATGGTCCCTTTGTCAGGTTAGATCGACACTCTCAAAACATAATACGATCCCTTTCTGTCGTACACCATTGTAAAATGTTGTCAGATCGCTGCGGTTAATGACTTAGGAAATAATGTCGTCACTCATTATTTCCTCAGCCAACATTGTTAGACGTTTCGCAGGTCCAAACTTCAGACTTATTTCTCTATATTCTATCAAATTTAAAAGGAGGAACGCTTCTCCATCAATCCCCTCCGCTCTAAGTATATCGTAATCTTCTTGTATAAACTCCAGGTTCTGCTCCGGATTCCATCTCTGCAGAAACAAGATAAGTTCATTCGTTGTATACTCTGCGACATCTTCAACCCCACGAAAAAATCGGCATACGTAAGCCTGTCGCACAGAACTACCGATTTCGGTAAGGTATATCCGATGTGATCAACACCCGGACTAGCTGGAGCTAATCTTTTCGAAGGAATTAATAAACGAATTGTCGATATGTTGTGACTGCTTCATAAGCTTTCGAACTACACCATGATTGTATTAAATTAAATACTTTAATCAAACTAAATTTACATATCTAATTATGTTCGCTCGTATTAAATGATTTTAGTTAAAATAGTCAGGAAAGATATAAAATGAGAAAAAAGGTGTGAAAATAAAAACAAAAAATTTATAAATCAAGGTCAAACTCATTATACAATATATCATTAACAGAGTATATAGTAAAGTAGTATGAGTTATTCAGCGATATTTGGTAAATTAAATTTGATTGGTTGATCTGGGCTCCGCAGGAGCCCGAGATCGACTTTCCTAGCGTAACCTGAAAAAAATGTCACGAAATGGCCGGCATTACGCAACTTGACTGAAATTAAGTGTGGCGCACTTGTGACGAATAATGTGTGACGAATAAGTTTTTACCTATTCGAAAAAAACTAAGTCCCTCAGATACTTATAGAAAATGGAAACGCAGTGGGGTGTGACGGTTGTGACAAAAAAAGTCACGTGATTTTTCGTGACATTTTTTTCAGGTTACGCTGGGAAAGTCCCCGAGATCAACTGATTCAAGCTACCTTTAGGCAGCATTTGTTATTCGGCTCGAAGTGCCGAATAAGTGATTTATCCGGTGTAACCATCAAACTTTTTTAAACTTTACCTGTACTCATACACATGATATTCTGACCATCATCAATTATAAAATACTGGATAATTTATTAGCCATATATAGGTACGGTATGATCTAATTAATCATCCATTATCATTATAACATCATTTTTTATATATTTTTTTGTGCGACGTGAAAACGTAGCACATGGCAACTACCCCTAGAGCACCGTAACGAAAAGTTACAGTCACGTGATTTTTGGCCCGCATTACGGCTTAATGCACTAACATGTGAAAATAAACAGTGACAAATAAGGTGTGACAAATAAGATTTCACTTACTCGAAAAAACGTCCCTCAGATAAATATAAAAAATAGAAACGCAGTGGGGTGTGACGGATGTGAAGAATAAAATTGCAGTCACGTGACTTTAACTTTTGTTACGGTGCAACTGCACATGGCTGTTGTACCCGTGATAAGTCACGTTGCCACCGCAGTCTTATCAAAAGAATACTTTATAAATAAATAAAATAACATGCTTGGTTTATCATAACTAAAATATATAAAATAAAAATAAATTTCCTGACTTTTCATTAAATCCATTTTACTTTTCAATTTCGATTTTTCCAACTTTTGACTTTAGTCAACCTTGAACTCTGAATTATATTTTTTGTCAAAAATATTATTTCCAACTATTGAAAAATATGTTCTTCACGAAATTCCTTCTTTTTGATCTTCAAATCTCTTTCCAAAAATATCAAGTTCTCGATCTTAGTTCCTTTCTCAATAATCTAAATATAGAACCTTATTTTCATAGTTATACATCGCGGATGTAACACTTGTAACATTACACAATTATAATAATACTAAAAAATTTATACATCTAATTTAAATATAATACTGCGCCTACTAATTACTAAATTCACTAGTTAAGTCACGGCATTACACTGTCATGTAACTGCGGATTACGTAAATTCTAAACACAGTCAATCAATTTTTACAATTTGAATAATTTAAATAAACAATTTTTAAGGAAATTTGGAAATCTAGAAAATTTACTTGATTTTTAAAATGATGGAACCGCAATTGGAGGTCGCATACGTGACAAATAACATTCAAACGATCATTTTACTAAAAGAAAAGTTACAAAAAAGGGATAATCAAAATCACACTGATCATGAGTAAATTTCACGATTAATAATCCTCTTTCATTCTGGAATCTTGAATATGGGAAACCAGGATACCGAGGTATTCGAATCCTATAATTCTGCGTCCATGTGGATAATAGGAATAAGGCCATACCAACTATAACCAGGACCTAGAGTAGTACTCGGGTAACATCTAGGATAGTAAGGATAGTATCCATGAAATCTATGTATATGTGTACGTATTTAAACATTAGTAATAAATCGTTAAGAAATAACGATTTTGCCAACTTGATAGTAAAATAGTACCCGAATTGAGCTTCAACATCATTATTATCGTCTTCAGCAGGATTTGGTGTGAGCGCAGATTTTGGAGCTTTGGATTTGACATTTTTAATGGAGTCAATAGAAGAATTTTCAGAAAAGGAAAAGGATTAAGGAAACAAGTTGAAACGATTTAATTATTTGGTTTTTTTTTCTGTTTATACACGAAGCTGAAATTTTTTGGAAGGTGAAATTTTACATTCTTTGTTTTAAGTAGATTTCTTTTTTTTTTTTAATTTGATCTTTTTTCGACACTAAAATCATATTTTGATTAGTGATTTTATCAAAATAAAAATTAAATTAGTTAATTAAAGCTTTATCTGTTTATCAATGTTACGCGATTCTGCACAAAAAAAATCTAACTAACGTTTTTACAGATTTATTTTACAGATTTATGGAATTACAAAAAATAATTATCTCTTTTTAGGTTTAGCATTGAAACCAATCCTTTATAATGATATCACTAAAATGAAAATAAATCAAAAAATAAAAGCAAAAAAAGATCACCTAAAGAACATGGGCACGATAAATTTAATTAGTATACGTAGTACGCAGTACTTACGCCTCTATTATGTAAGCCATCCTAGATTTCCTGCAAACGTCTCGCTTAATTTTTTTTGTATAATACTATTGAATTGTGAATGTGAATGAATGAATGATGCTTACAAGGTCATCATATGCATGAGTAGCTAATATTGAATGAAAAGTTTATAAATATAGTACTCCTACAACAGCAGCAATCGAACAGTTTACTTACATATATTGTGTTTTTGTATCCAACAAAATAATAAAGCTGATGTTGTATTATCAAAATATGGTGAAAAATTGCCTAAATTATTTGGCAATTTAGAAAGGTCTAAAGCATCATCAATTATATTTCGTTCCTATACACTTTCATTTTGTAACCGTTCTAACAAATAATTTATTCCATCAGATGAATCTTTGTGAATATTATCAATTCATTAGGAATATCCTCATTAGTAGATGAATTTGCTCTTCGAGAATGGTTTAGTATTGGTTCCTTGATAGTTGAATAAATCAGATGTGAATTAACTGTATTACCAATATAATCATTATCGAGAATAATGATTTCGAATAGTGAAGTATCTTTATAACTAAATTTTTTACGTAACATATTAACAAAGGGCCTAACCAGTTAATATCAAAAATATTTTAAAAACTTTTTGCTGAAAATTGTACCGATTTTTGATTTTATTTTACTAATACATTTAGTCGAAAGAAGATTATTTTCCATCAATACCATTATTATAAAACTTGAGTTTGGGAACACATGACTGAAATTACCGTCTCCGGGACGCATTAAGTAAATCTGACCAGAATTATGGAATTATGGTCAAAATAGTTTTAACTTTTAACCGATGTCTTAGCTGGTTAACCGTTCTTAACCGGTTAATTAACCAATTAACATTAACCGGTTCTAATCTCTATAACAATGAGAGATATTATTCCAAATGTGCAAAATTTGTTCATTTTTCCTTTTTTTTTTTTAACTTTTGTAACGCATTTCATTTTATTAAGGATAGAAAATCCAAATACAGAAATATCTAGAACCATACGTGCAACACGATATGGCTCTATAACAAAAGGAATCTATCCTACTAAATCAAAACAACAAAAAGAAAAAAACAAGATAAATAAAAAAAGATCTTACCTCTACACACTATTCCTAACTAAATCACTAACTATCTCTATATCTATTACAAAAAATTAGAACCACAAAGATACGACATAAGAAACACTTGCTATGTCTAGACAAAATTCTCCACTGACTAGCGTATAGCCAGACCGGATCCCACGTCTAATCCCTGTAATCCCAAACGTCCTACAAAATCAGATAGTTAGTACCAAAACCAGAGCCTTCTAATTTATTTCTCGAAAAAATTTTATCTTGCAAGCAAGAGACTTGAGAATAAAGTTTCTATCGTCCTCGTCTTGGCACGTGATTTACTGCGGATATGGCTGATCTCTCCTCGGATAAAATTTGTTGCCGCAATTTGTTCCACAATAAATGTTCCTCGCTGAATCTTCCGTTGCTACTTTTGGATTCCATCCGCGTGCTAAAATTTTGTTGCGCCGAACGAAAAAATTTGCGACGAAAAATTCCCAAGAAACCACTATAAATCAAGCCTTTCGATCTATACTCCACTACCCAAAGGTTAGTTTTCTTTGTATCTTTCCAAGCTTCTGTTATCACCTTCTCACAACGTTTTGTTGGAGCAACACCTTGCCCTATCAACATTTTTGCGCATAATGCATTTTGTATAAATATTATTACCTATACTA